TGCTCGAAAATGTGCTTCAAAATAACGTCTCCCGTGCGAATAGGGCGAAAGTGTGTAAGGGGAGACGGGAATCCGTTCCCAATTTCCACCTACTACCTCCAGCCCCCTTGCATGGCTTTCCCCCCGCACGAGGCTCGAGACATCCGCTCCTGGCATGGCCAGTAAGAGCAGGTTGGGACCCTTGAAAAGAAAAGAAAAGAAAAATAACAGAAAACAAGCATAACGAAAAAAAAGGGGGTTCCAACCATATTCAAGAAGAAAATAGAGCACCTTGAAAAAAATGTGATTCCATGATCTTTTGTTTTTGAGAATCTCTTCATCCACGATTCATTTGTCCTCTGTTCACTATTTGCCATGATGCCGACTCGATATTAGTGCTCTCGCCGAAGAAGTTAGGAGATGACTTGTGCGTTGGTTGACCTCGTAAGCTGCTAAATGATCTAGGAAGTCCTCTACCTACGATCTGGGTTGTTTGTTGCTATAGAGGTCTGGAGAGTTGCATTGGTTTGAGTTAGGTTTGCTTAGGGACAAGCAAACGGTTAAGTGTGGGGGAGTTTGATAGACCGATAATTACACGTGTTTTCACCCGTATTCTTGAGCCGTTTGAGAGGTTGATTCTCGGGTTTTAAGCCGATTTCACGCGAGGTTGTGTGTTTATGTCATATTTCAGGACCCGGCGTTGGAATCGAGGCGAAGGAACGAGATTCGGGTCGAAAGGAGCAAGTGAGGCTTGAAGCGGGCAGAAGGAGGAAAATACCCGGCCATGGGCCAAAATACCCGGCCGGGTATTATTCTGAGGAGACCGGGGAATTCCCTCTTTGGCGTCTGAGAAACAGAGGGGGGCCCGGTCGTGAGGCTAAAATCCCCGGTCGGGGATTATTGGAGCAGACCGGGGATTTTTCCCTGCTTGAAACGTGCGTTTTGATAATACCCGGTCGAGACCCAAAATACCCGACCGGGTATTTCGACCGGGTATCGCGACAGGCAGCTGTTTTAAGGGAAAAGAGGGCTGAAAATCAAGGGATTCGAGTTTTTTAAGAGAGAGAACGATTCCTAGAGAGAGAAAGTGACGAGCAAGAGTTCCCAAGTGCCCTAGATTGATCTTCAACACCATTGGAGGCCATCTTGAGCTTGGAGAAGTGCCAATCAACGTCCAGAAGCAGGAATCCATCCTTCGCAGTATGAATTCCGTGTCTGATTCTGCTTTTGCTTTCTTCTCCATAGAGTAGTTCTCCCATTCATCTGGGTATGGAGAACCCTAGATTTGTATGTTAGGTTTGATTGTATGAACCCAAGTACTGATTCTGTGATTGATTATATTCGATTGAGGTTTGAATGATTGAATGACTTGAATCCTGATCAAATTCCTGTTGTTTCTGCTTTAACCTAGAATGAGAATATCTGACTAGGTTAATAGAGTATCCTTGATTGAAGATAGGGAGTTGGTGACTTTAGTCGAGGAGCCAACTCACTATTCTGTACCGGATTTACTTCGGTAGTGGAGGTTTTGTTCTTAGGGCCTCAATCTGTTTACTCCGGTGGAGGTTAGTTGCCCGCTAGAGACTCAGATTGAGAGGGTCTGAAGACCTTTAGTCGAGACTTCAGGCTGTTTAAGAACCTTCCGCGGTATAACTATCATAGAAACTGAACTTGGTAATTACAATCCGGCTTAACTGCAGTCTAGGGGGAACCATATCCGGGTGACCTCTCTTAACTTGAATACAACCGTTTGTTTGCTTTGTTAGTTTGTTAGTTTAGACTTGCATTCCATTTTCATTGCTAGATAACAAGAATTCACTGAGTAGTCATCACATCTAGGACCCGGGTTGATAATTAAACCTAAACCTGCTATACTACGCTTTAGGAAATGGTTTCACTTGGCCAATTCCTGGAGTGACAGTAGAGTCGAGTCAGTAACCAACTTGAAACCATCATCCTTAAGCCCAGGAGGATTATTTACACTGCTTTCCAAAATAACAGACACAACAGACTCGCCACTAGCTTCTGACTCGGGGATCTGCGAGCCAGCAGCCTTATCTTGCACAACAGCAACCTCATCCACTTTCTACTTACTCGCAGACCCAACTATCAACACTTCCTGCACTTTTGGTTGCTTAACAATCCAAAAACGCTTCACCTTCCCTCCTGGATTAGCACAGTCATGCCCAAACACACCACACTTCTCACATTTCCTAGGCACATGACAAAAATCCACATCCACCAAGATCTCGGGACGACCATCAGGAGCGATGCTTAGTTTGCTAATCAGATTAGTCTTCGTAGTGATCTCAACACAAACCTTAGCAACACCATACTTTGTCCCCTGCTTTGTTGGATAATCCATACAAAGAGGCCGCCCCAGAGAGCTAGCGAGACGCCCTAACCCTTCCTTAGACGTTAGCTCAGATGGCAAATTTGATAATCGAACCCAGACAAGAACAGCAGAATTATCAATGGCTAACGGCTGAATACCTGGTTCCCATTTCCGGAGCAGAACCATGTTCTCTCGATGATGCCAGGGACCGCCTTTAAAAATCCAGCGACAAACTTCCGCATTCGAGAAGTGTATTTGTTGATTTGTGAAAAGTAAATGCAAAGTTATTCCCAAAATCCAGTATATCCAAAAATATTTATTGTTTTGAAAATTCCTTTGTAAAATTTGTAGTTCTTAGAAAGTTATGCGTAATAAAAAAAATCATGACATTTGGATTGCGAATCACAAAGTTATCGCCTTCCAAAGTTTGACAAAATTGAAAAATTGCTCGTTCAGGATAGCAAACGACGTTTTTTCGGGATGAAAGCGGGACCAAACCACCTATGGCTTGAAAGATCTCAAAAAAATATGCGGAATCAAAAAACATTTTGCTACGATCAGATAACCGAACGCAAAGTTACGTTCGTTTGAAATTTCAGTTTTATATAAGGCCTTCACCGCGGTTGACGGCCACGGTGATGCCCAAACATGTATAAATTAGTAAACTTTTTATAACGTGTGTATTTTGAGATTTTTTTAATAACGGTGTATATTTTGAAAATTTTTCCTAATTCAAGAATCCCAATAATATCTACAGTTTCTCTCAACAGTACTTAAGTCGTACAAAGATCACAATTATGAATGGCAGCAAGCCAGCTAGCCATTACAAATGTCATCAATAAGGTGGTGTTGTTGTCACCTTGAAAGAACAATCACTTGGCGCCTCTGTAGGAAAGTGACCATTTCTCATTCGAAAAGAAGTAACACATGCAAATAATGAACTACCGGTTAGGTTACATGTTTACTCGAGTGTCTGTGTGATCGAGACCCAATCAATCATCATCATAAGTTACGTTGTTACCACTGTCTTCTCTTCCGATTACAATTGCCCTACGTAAGTACAAGATTAATTAATATCCATCACCATCATAGCTCGTAACAAACAATGGTTAATTACACTGTTATATATGATCATAATTTTGGCATTTGTGACGATAATAATCAACTTTTTTTAGAAAAAACTTTAAATATAGTAATTTTTTTGTAAAATCATTAATGACGTTAGGGACGCCATCAGTTACGTTAACGACATGCTGATGTGAACGTCAATTCAGCACCAAATTACAATGTAATGTCGTCTGTCAGCCACATTAAATATAAAAATACCTTCACATACACAAAACTATGCTCATACTAATGACAAATAATAAATATAGCCATTCTGTCAAATAAAATAGTTAAATTTAACATAAGTCTTAGACTTGATTACGGGATCTTGGTTGCCACCATGGATTTGGTTGCCATGGACTGATTTGGTTGTAATCGGCGGGAGCAGTGGAGTACCGAGTCGAGTGGATGTGATTTCTTTCATTTGTGGCGGTAGGTGGTCATAAGGTGTAGGTACTTACCATGGTGATTGTTGAAGAGGGGAAGAAGATGACAAATTCTAGGAATCCTATGTTGGACGAGTTTGTTTTGTGTTTATGGCCGGAGATCATTAGTCTATCCATCAATTGTGATACTTATTATGTTAAATTTAACGATTTTATTGGACGAAATGACTATATTTATCATCATGCAAAAATGGCTATATTTATTATTAGCATAAAAGTTTTGACTATATATACGATATTTTAAATTGTTAAGAACCAGTTGATCCAATAACTCGAGTTGTTGAGAGAGATTCAATCTTAGATCATATATCGTTTACTAACACACTCCCTCAAACTCAAGCCCCTCGGACAGACTTGGAGTTTGCACAATCACAGAACCGGACACCATGTGCTTAACAGAAACAGATGGGGTCATCGGGATTTGAACAGGAGACCTCTCGGTCACAGAAGGATATGATATCATGTCAAGAACCAGTTGATCCCAATAACTCGAGTTGTTGGGACTTGGGAGAGGTTCAATCGTAGATCATATACCATTTGCTAACCTAAATATGACGCGGCTAACAAGTGGTATGACGTGACGATTTGAAGCTGACGTGGCATCCATACCAACACGTTGTTAATGTAACTGACGGCGTTTCTAACGACGTTAAATTTTTTAATGGAATTGACTATATTTGTCCAACGAGTATCCCAAATCTTACTATATTCATGATCTTAAAAAAAACGGGCTATTATTGTCACGAAAGCTAAAGCTATAACTATACATAGGGGTGGACATTGGTCGATTCGGTCTGGAACCAGATCGAATCTAGAAATGGCAAGCCTGAAAACAAAGGGAAAACGAGGACCTAACCAGACCAAAAGCATGTTTGATTCAATTCAAATTCAAATATCAATTCATAGAACCAATACCGGATTGAAATATATTCAATCCGATCCAATTCAAATATCAATTCGATAAAATTCGGTCCGATGTTAAGTAGATCGTCGCTCCCCCTAACTACGCCATAATTAAAACACAAATGAAAAGGGTACGTAGCATTGAATAGATAAAAAGGTAGCAACTACCCAACTAGCTAGCTGCAAACCCATTAAAATTGCCCTCCCTGCATTCTTCTACCTTATTATAATACCCTTCACACTCTGAAAACCTCTGTCCTCTTCTCGCCGCTCTCCATTTCCCCACTCACAGATTTCCCTCTCTTCTCTTCTTATATTTGAATCTTCATTTCATAAAATTGTTCTACTCCATCTCTGCTGGAATTCCCATTTTGTTTTCCTTCGTCCAATAAACTATGGGACGGGTAGACGATATCATCGACGAGGGTGAAACCTGCAGCGGCCAGCAGCTAGAAACAGGGCTTCTGCAGCCGCCGGCGAGCCAGAACGACATCGTCGGCGAAGGGTTTACTCCAGCGGTTGTTCTTAGCACCTTGGTCGCCGTGTGCGGTTCCTTGGCTACTGGTTGCGCTGTAAGTTCAAAATTAACTCGAATTTGTAGTTTCTCCCTTCTCCACTCTTATTTAATAGACGTATGCATATATATTTATATATGTATTTTATATATTTAAATCTTTTAATTTTGTACTGATGCTAAATCATATTTTTTTACCATCAATTTGATGACTCTAGTGTTAAATATGGCCAACTTGGGAAGAAATACTTTATATTGACACCTTAAAGTAACGGAATAGGGGGCCTGAAATTCCAACAAAAGAGAGCCCTGAATTTTATATTTGGCCGGCCAACGATGGTCCTTGTGGGCATTAATAAAATTTAACCAAATCAGATACGTCGAAAGAGAAAGGAACAATATTTTAAGAGGATGAATAGTAGGGATGACAATGGTTGGGTTTGGGGTGGATTTGCGTAAATCATCTTCATTCTCATTTTCAAATACTCAAATCCATACGCGTTCCATACTTATGTGGGTCCATCTCTGTATTTGTGGGTTTCGGTACACATGGGTAAGGCCAAGTCCAATGCAAAACCCCAAATTTGGGGGCCTTGAACCCCAAATTTGGGGATTGAACCCCATTTTCCCTTTTTTTGCTCCAATGCAACAAACTCCATATTTGGGGTTCTTAATATTTCCAGTTTTTCCATTTATTTAGAAATGTACTTATCGAAACTTTAATGTAATTTGTTCATGTTAATTTTTGTATAGTTCTTCATTATTTTTAAATACAAATTTTTCGATAGAATTTTGTTAAATTTCGAGACCGAATTTTTTTTGGCGAAAAATTATGGACCTAATTTGGGTTTACACACAACACTTCAAAATGATAAAGCTTAACGAGTTGACATAATAATTCAAATGGTACAATTCATAGGTTACACACAACACTTGCTAATCATAAAGCTTAAATATTACACACAAATATTAAACACAAATTAAATACAATCTAAAAAGGTTAAATACAAACATTAATTTCTCTTCCCCTAATTAATTACATTCAATTTTCTTAATCAATTGCCTTAATCAATTTCCTTAAATAACTCAACACCTTTCCTTTCTTCCCTTAATTAATCACATTAATTAGCAAGCAATTAAAAAAAAGCACTGCTGGGCGGTTTCCATTCCCCATAAATGCCGAGTTCGGCATTCCCTCCTCCATATTTGGCGACGCAGATGCCGATGCCCTCCATAAATGCCGATCTTCGCCATTTTTCGGCCCTGCATTGGAGCTCCAAAATCGCCATTAATGGCGAGAACCCCATAAATGCAAGCTGCATTGGAGTCAGCCTAATACCAGCCTCTGTACATCCAACATTATTACTTAAAATTTAGAAGAAAACTTCTAATTATAACAGTAAACAAATCTATTATATTATGAAGTTAACAAAATACAGTCATTTTCTTAACACGGTTCAAAAAATATGATCCTAAAACATTCGTTAATACATAATATAGAGTACAATATTTTCCAAATTATTATGCTCTAACTCTAATACATCTACTAAGTAATAATTAACCAACATAATCTTGTTGGTAAGGGGGAAAGTGAGAGAGTGAAGGGAGAATTGAGGAAAATGAATTAGGTTTTGATTAGAGTGGCCACTCAATTGCATTTCTACTATTTATTTTCTCGAGTTATCCTCGTCAATCAACATTGAAATATTACAATTTGATCCGCATATTTTTTTATATGCGAAGAAATTCTCTTGGTGGGCCGGTATGGGTATGGGGCGGTGGAGGCTAAAACCATACCCGCCCCATACCCATCAAATTTTGTGCGGGTTTTACTCATACCCGCCCCATTCCTGATCAAATCGGGGATTTCCCATATTAACTGAGTCGGGGGCGGTCGGGTAACCGTGGCCATAGGTTTGATTGTCATCCCTAATGAATAGCTATACAATAATATATACTATTTTCTCAAGAGAATGATAAAAGATATTGGATTATATTTGGATAACAAATGAGCCTCTTCATTCCCATTTTCATTGATTATGCTGCTAGAGTTGGGATGCTAATCAGTTTGATTTCGATTGATTACTTAGTAAAAATGCATATTTAAAATCAAATTAATAAGACATATCAGTTAACTTCCTATTATCAGTCCAGCTAACGGTTAGTTTAGCGGTTGAACAATAAAAGTCTGTTTACTTGAAACATAATTTTAAAGTGTAAACTTCTATACAAAGTCACATTTTATGTCCACTTAATTAAAACATATAGATATAGGAGTTTGCTACATGAGTTGTGATAAATTCCAAGTAATTTACTTGGTGTTTGGTTGAGATTTCTAGTAGACCACAAGGTTGGTCATGTCAACTACATTAGTAACCAGGTTTACTTGGATTTATGAAACTCTTTTATATGGGCTAGCAATTCATTAAGATAATTTATTATTCGAGCTTTGTTTGATAGTAGGGTCGTCATATTTAGTTTGAGTGTCGCTAAGAGCAACAATTATGTAAAACAACAAAGTCATAACTTCATCACAATTTTGAAGATCATATTCACGATCATCTGCTTTTTGATTGGCCAACAGTTTTCAACATCATATGTTGTACTTGTACATAACTTTTCGTTGATTTTTCCTTTCATGCATCTATACGTTTGGGCCAAACATTGCGAGTCTAATATTTTTCAGCCTTGTGAAACAAATAGTCATACACTTTATTTTAAATCATCGCACGTAATGATCGAATCATATCCACTTCAACTTATTTCTCCCTTTCTGAATGTATAACTCAACTAACTAAGAAGTTGAACATCTAGTGGTAGTATCTTGTTCGATAGATGGTAATTTTGTCCTCTGATTGATACGTATAGCTCTTGCCCATCATTCAAATAATGATTCATCTTGTCATTCATATAATTAAAGTCAAAAGATACCATTGTAGATACTTACGTAATCTCAAAATTATTTTGCAACTTTTATATCTCACACTGACAAAACCATTAGGAATTGAGATGTGACCGATCTTGTCACTCATAGAACTAAACTCTATGATACTATTATAGGTCATTATGTACACCTGAACATTACCATTTTAGCTCTAGAGATAGTCCTCCTCCACTTTTCATTACCATACAATACTAATTAAATAACCAAAGATCCAATAAAAAGAACAGTAGCGATAGTTGTAGTGTTCTTCCTGATAGTTTATGTCCTTCATCATTAGAACTACAAATGATGAAGCTTTATCGTATGCAATAGAGTTCCCTAACAGACATTATAATGAACAACTTACATGAATTAGTTGATGGCTGACATAGACTAATTGATGTATATTTATTGAAAAATAAAGTTTTACTATTTATAATTGATTAGAGATGAGAGATTGTGAATACCCAACCTAGACAGGCAATGACGAAAGAATTTGGAACAAAGGCTGCTTGAGTGAAGCCAAAATGCAGATGTCTGTGGAAAGGTGGTGACCTAGGTTGTTTTAATCATTCATCGATCAATAATGAAGTAGACATAAAAAGCCTAAAAAAGGGAGCTTTGTTGTGTGAGGAAAAAGATGGAAAAGAAAATTAAATTTTGCAAACATAGTAGAAATTAGAGTCAATACTTTTAAATTGATTCGGATGTCAGCCAATAAAGTAAAAAAGAACACGGTTAGAGGTTAAGTGTTAAATTCATTTGAAGTCGTATAAGACAACAAAGTGAAGCTTTTTTGTGCACAATTCTTTTCTTAGGATGTACTTGTTTTTTACATGAGATAAACACAACACTAATAAGTACTTGAATGAGATCGAAGATTGAAATTCACATATTTTATAAATAAGCGCATATAAAATAATCATGATTTAATTTAGACCAATGAAAATAAGAGATAATTGCATATAATGATCATATAATTAAGGGATAGTTGTTGTCGTATACTACCAATACCCAACCTAGATAAGCAATGACGAAATAATTTGGAATGAAGGCTGCTTGAGTGAAGCCAAAATGCAGATGTATGTGGAAAGTTTGTGACCTAGGTTGTTTTATTTATTTGCCCATCAATAATGAAGTAGACATAAAAGTGTCTACAAAAGGGAGCTAATGTTGTGTAAGAAAAAAGACTATATATTATTTGTTTGAACTCGGATTTCATATTTTCTTGCATAACAAATCAAATAAATATATTTTAAAAAATGAAATTTACTGTGATATATTTTGGTAAAATAATAATGTAACATGAAGGTGTCCTATATCATGGTAGTATGAAAACTATCTCACGGTGATATACGTGATTGAAATTTTTAACCAAAAATATAAATGGATGGGTTGTATATCACATTTAATTCATTTTTCTGTACAAAATTGTTAAAATCATACTTAAATTCAAGAAGATACAATCCAATTGATAAAAGTAGTTTATTAAAAATTATTTGAATATCAACCATTAGATTTGTCCAATGTTAAAACTTGATTATTAAGCTAACATAATTTTTAGGTTATGCATATGAACCTTATCCAAGCTTTTCTATTTTCATGGAGATAATAGAAAAATGAATTATGTCCAAAAATATAAATAAATAAAAGTGATTAGAATTGCATAAAAACATGGATATGTCGTTTTGAATAAGTTTGCATGGAAATTAGAGAAAAATGACTAATGTCAAAAAAATGAAATGAGAAAATGAGTTGCATTATACAAAATAATTATATTGATGAGTATATAGTTCATTTCGTTGATACATATATAGTTCATTTTCCTATGAGTTTCTTTTACCCATGACGCTTTCGACAGGCCAGACTAACTTGGTAAAAAAAATTGATGAGTATCAATGACATTCTTACACAAATGGAATTATCTTGTATCATGGTGGCACATGAGTGAACTAAGTATGCAAATATTAGTAACTTTATGATATAGGAACATATCACATAATTACATGATTGTGATAATATATTTTACTTAACAAATTAGCATTTTCACTTCAAAATATAATCAACAACGTAACTAACACTAAATATTAAATATATGTTTTTATTATAGAATTATATGAGTGTATTCATACACATATTTATAGTAGCACATACAAAATGTTATGTTGTTGGTGTGATAAAAAACCAAACAGGGTTATCCTTTAATTTCTCATATTTTTCAAATTTGAAATAAATATGATAGAAAAATTAAATAAGTTTTGGATGATAATTTAATTTGAGCTTTTCATAATTGAATCGAATGTAAACCTGTATAGAAAGAAGACCACAGTCAGAGCCTCGGAGGTAGGGTGTTAACCTCGTTTCATGAGAAGTGTAGTATTACAGTTGTAGTTGATATCATCAAATAGAATTTGTCCGAGTGTTTAATACTTAGAATGATATAAATGGAGGCACACATGTTATAGGTTCAAGTCTTAGCGACGATGATTAAGATCTTTTCATTATTTTAGCTTAGTGTAACATATAAATTTTTGGGAAAATTAAAATGAAAAAAGGTGACATGGAAAATTGAAGAGTTTCTTGAATCCTAGGTGGCGAAATATTGCTACAAAACAACCATAATATAAGTTATAGATAGATAGATAGATTGGTCAAATTAAATTGACTGTGTGATCGACCTAATGAACCATGTCGTCTAATTGCCTATGTGGTCAACCTAATTGACTATATTATAAAGCTTACTGATTTTTTGGTCAACAAAAAACCTCCATTAAACCTCAAATAACTATGAATTTACAACAATTTGCATATCAATAATACATGTAAACATTTCGACACTGAAAATCAAGTTAAAAAGATATCAAAATGCCATTCCAAATGGAAAAAAAATGTCAAGTAGAAAAGTAATATTTGAAATGACTAAGGTGAAATCCTCCAATAATATATAGAGACTTTTGTCTACTTTTTTTCCTTTTCAAAATTTTTCTTTACTCCTCAATTCCAGCTAGGTTAAATTTATAATTAAAAAATATTGTTTAAAATATCTTTCTATAAAAAATTCATTATCAAGACTTGAACAAATTTTATGTATTTTTTAATTAAGATTATAAAATAAGTGAACATCTCAAAATTAGAGGAGTTATCCAGTGCAATAGTTAGCCCTCCAAATAACCAATAACTTTTAGTTTTTTTTTCAAACAAACATCATGATATATCTAGCTTTATAAATTAATTAAAAATGATTTCTCTAATCACATAGATCTTCATAAAAAATCTAATAATAAATTTATAGTTTAAGTCATTTAATGAAACTTAAACATTTGATATTCGATGGTCTAGCTATGATCTTAAATTTACTTTTTTTTTTTTTTATCACCCAGAGAACCTCAGCCCCACGTGTCGCTTGAGCGACAGCGGGGCCTACTAAACCACTGGGGTACCTGCATACTAACCGGGGCTTTCTCCTACCAACATCGGGGAGGCTTCGCCTCCGATACCAAGGGTGCCGCCGGGAATGCTCAAGTGGCGCCGCTGGGAATCGAACTCAGGACCTCCCACATCCAGAACTCAATTGGTTATCAAATAAAAATAAATTTACTTTTATGAGTAAAAGAGAATTCAATGGTTTTGTGAGGAAAAATGTCAATGTTAGAAGTGAATGATAAAAAATCACTGGCTAGTAGGGTTGAGAATTATAAGCATCAAAGTGAGAGACTAAATAAGATTGACCAATGAGTCAAACATCATTGGTTGATCTAAACATTTAATGATAAATAGTATATATATGTACAAGGAATTCTATGGTAACCACGATGAATTTTGGGTTACATCGTACTCTTAGTACAATAATGTGTTATAGCATTAATTTTGAGAGCGGATCAGATCAGTAACCTTATAGTGAGTAATCATGAGTAACCCGCTCAAATCAGCATGACATCAGCATCTCTCTCATGGAAATCCTTTATCTTTTCCCCTCTAATATTTAACGAACGAAAAAAAAATTGCACAGATAAATCAGATTAATTGTGCTCTTTAAAATGATATTCACTTTGATATATTTTTAGAACAAAAAAAAATTTGAGTCATTTTTTACCAGTCAATACCATTTGGTATGCTCCTATTTAATATCATATGGTAAGAAAGCGTACCATGATGGTATGAACATACCAATAGTGTAGGAAGGTTGAATACATGATAGTAGGAGTATACTAACTGTCATTTACAACTTTTATCATTGTTTACCACAAGTTACCACCCACATACCAGAATGGTAAAGTATGGTAATTTTTGGTCCTGTATTTTTTTCACCCAGAAATTTATAGATCCAAATGATCATGATGAACTCGTTTCTTTTGAGCAAACGTTTTCAAAAAAGACTTAAAAACAAAATAGTTACCATATGGTATGTAGTTGGTAACGGGAGGTATGAAAAAAAGTTTATAGAAATATATTGAAAATTGATCTCATTTTGTAGAGCACAACGAACTCATTCCATCTATGTAAAAAAAATTGAAATCCAAGTTAGAACGAAGAAGATAAGAGCCGATTAAGAAAACTCAGAAAAATAAAATGCTTATAATTCACAACTCTTAGATCTGGATTTTCAGGGCCCACTTAGATCTAAAGGTCCATATTTAGTTACTCATAGGTACGTAACCAATGTTTAGTGACCGTATCCCAAGCCACGAATTTTGACATGATCATATACCATGACTTAGTGATTAAATCATATATCCTAATTCTCTAAACCTCAATATGGGGCATATTGATATATCAATGCATCAGAGCCATCGATCATTTTTCTTAGTGTATTTTGATCTTTGGGTTTAAGATTTATAGAATTAGGGTCTAGAATTTGCTCATTTGAGTTTAGTAGAGTCCAAAATTCACTCATCCCATAACTATGGTTTAAGGTTTAGAGGATAAGGAGTCTAGAATTACACAATAATCAATTATATCCACGAAGAGAATCTCTTAATGTTTTAAGCTAAGTAATAATAATTATTGTTTCAGGGATAGACTAAGTATTGAAAATATAGATTGATGTGTATTATATACGATAACAATATGAGTGTCTTGGTTCAAAAATATTGATATAATATCCTACACCAAGAATATCACACCTCCATTAAGGACAAGAGTTAAAATTAAATAATCGAAACATTTTTTTTTTGTGATTGAATCATCGGTTCATTTGCTTCATTAAGTGAAAAATTGTTCATCTCTCTTGTGGAAAATTATGGAGTACATAGTTTTGTATGCTCCATATTGATACCACTTTCAAAAACTCCAGTTATTAAGATATATTAATTTTGATTTTTATGTCATTTTCTAATAAGTAAGGTTTTATATAAATTTGTTGTAGTATGGATACTCATCACCAGCAGAGTCAGGGATCATAGTAGACTTGGGAATGTCTGTCGCTCAAGTAATTAATCACCAAACCATAACTACCTCCCCTTGTTCATTCTTCACTTCACTTTCTATTGGAATTGCAATTCTAGACCAAATTAAATAAAACCTCTTTGCATGATCTCATTAGTACTCAACCTTTGGCTCAATCTTGACAATTGGTAGAATGTTGAGTTCTCTAGTCAACGGCAAGACAGCAGACATAATTGGCAGGAGATATGTAAGACTAATGATTCTTCATTGTGGTCAATAATTTCAACTATTGCATTTTTCACACCATTTATGTTGACAGACAATGTGGGTGTCTGAGGTGTTCTTCCTAGTCTCTTGGTCTGTAATAGCATTTGCCAACCTCCCATGGCTACTTGATCTTGGAAGGTTCATAATGGGATTTGCAGTTGGGATCAATGTTTATGTTATACCAGTCTACATTGCAGAAATCACCCCCAAGAACTCTCGTGGCACCTTAACTTCTACTCATCAGGTAAATCCCATGTTGTCTTTTGTGGACACAACTCAAACACCATTATTAATTGCTCATTGAACGCACTTTCTCAATGATTGCAGTTCATGCTTACCTTTGGCTTTTCTCTTGTCTATTTGACGGGAACGCTCATATCTTGGCGAGCATTAGCTCTAGTTGGTACATATTTATGCTCCCTTATTATGTCTGCAATTGCTCATACGAAGAATAATGGATCTTTACCAACTATTTGATTCTTTGTTTACAAAGGTGTTGTACCATGTCTGTTGCATGTCTTGGGTATATTCTTCATCCCAGAGTCTCCAAGATGGCTGGTAAGCTCTAGAATTTCTTTTGCTCTAATTCATTTTCTTACCTCTCAATTGGGGATTTTCTTGGTACAGGCACAGCTAGGGAAAGATAAAGAGCTAGAAGCAACTCTAAGATACCTAAGGGGAAAAAGTGTTGATGTTTCACAAGAAGGTCTTGATATTAAAGTAAGCTTTATGCATTTTCAAAGCTTTATACAAGAGATTCATCTCCACTGATTGCTTATGTTTATTTCTACAGGAGCACACTGAGCTATTTGAGAGCCTTTCAGAGAACAAAATCCAGGACTTATTCCAGCGAAAATATGCAGATGCACTCATTGTGAGATGAGAATTATATATTTGTATACCACATCAAAAAATCTCTTTGCTTGTGCTCTAAGTAAGCTGGTAATCTCTTTCATTTGGGTTGATACTTCCAGGTGGTTGTCGGCCTAATGGTGTTTCAGGAGTTTGGAGGGACCAATGCATTCTCATACTATAGCGCCTCCATATTTGAACTTGCTGGTATGCCTAGAAACAAAAGAAGGAATCCCCATGCTTATTTTTTGCTTGTGCATTAGATACTGAAGAAGATGCATGGTTTATAATATATATCATAGGTGTTTCAAGTACTTTCGGTCTGGTATCCGTTGCCATTATTCAGGTATGTACTTGGAGCCGTAGACTTCCATATGCAAAAATTATTCTTGATTCATTTCAGTGAAAAATGGAGATAAATTTTTTTGTAGATTCCAGCCACCATCACATATGTTCTTCTTACTGATAAACTAGGAAGACGACCTCTTCTTTTGGTTTGTCTCTTCAACTCAAGCTCTTGTGTATACTTTGATAAAGCAAATGGATTTTGATCTCATTTCACAATACTTTTTCAGATATCTGCATTTGGGTTATTCTTGAGTACATTCTTGATTGGATTTGCATTCTTGTCGCAGGTATTTCATTATGGCTTATAAATGATTCATATATTTCATTTTAGATAAATACTTCAATATGTCATTTCATTTTCAGGAGCTTAACAAGTCTGAGAGTTGGACTGCTCTCTTGGCATACATTGGCTTGCTAGTAAGTGTAAAACCCTAGTGAAACTCTCACATAGATATATAGTCATTTGTTTATGGACATTTGAGTTAAATAAGAGAATTATTTGGTGTTTATTAGGGACTCCCCATAACTTTCTCGACTGGAATGGCAGGATTGCCATCAGTTGTAATGGCTGAGGTATCAGAATCTATTTCCATTGATTTTGTGAACTCTTTCATTCAACATTTAGAGATTGAAATGTTCTTTTTTTATTTTATTTTTTTTGTAATTTCAGGTGTTTCCTATAAACATAAAGGGTACAGCTGGAAGTGTAGTGACATTTATCAATTGGTCATCTTCCTGGATGGTCACGTACTCTTTCAACTTCTTTGTCCTATGGAATTCTGCCGATAATTCCGTTTGCTTATGAATTGTTGGTTACTTATCTTCCTCTAAAATCATTCTTTCTTCGTATATAACATTTTATGTGTCTTTTGTGGTTTAATCTCATCAGGTACATTCTTCATATTTTCCACAATTTGGATTTTTGGAACTTTGTTCATTGCAAAGTTTGTACCAGAGACCAAAGGTCGGTCACTAGAAGAATTGCAGACATTAATAAATCACATCAAGTAGTCAGAAGAAGGATAAAAGTGGTCACTACTTGGTACCAGTTAGATTAATCAAGGAGCTTTCAATTATAGAGAGAAAATAGTCTTCACGAGGTAAAATTGGATTGGTAGAGGATTGTAATTAATCTACACAATAAATAAAAGCCAAATTAGAAAATTCGAGGCCCGATTTTAAATTTCCTGCATCCAGAGTGAAAGTAGGAGGGGTAGATTCGTCTTCACAGACATTTTTTATTTTCTTATTTACGGAAAAATACATCAATAATGATATTTGAACCGTGGTCTCTTCGAACAAAGATAATAAACATAACCAGTTAAAATAAACACATTTATGTGATATTTTTCAATTAAAAACATACAGGAAGCTTAAATCTGAAAAATCATATGGACTTTTCCTCCACGGTTAGCAAGCGAAATGTCATTAATTCAAATATTGCATATCGAATTGCACTCTTGAATGTGTAGAAGCGATGTAGAATTCTTAACATAGACTTAATTGTTATAACTACCATAAAGTAACGATATTTTTAAACATAGAACTTTTGAGTGAATATGAGCACAAGTGTCTTTAAGAGAGGGGTAAATATGGAAAGGTTGAGTGATGTTGTTTTGCCGAACGCGGATGGAAACGACACTACTAATGTAAACGGACACAAATAGTGCCCCGACCAACTAAATGTTCAACTATCGCCGTCTCTCCGAACTTCCCATCATACTCAACAACCGGCTAACCTCCTCTACATCTATTGTTACGTCGGAGCAATTTTTGGAGGGTAAATATGGAAATATTGAGTGTTGATGGTTTGCCCAATGCGGATGGAAAAGGCGCAACTAATGTAAACATGCCCAGATAGTTTTTGACCCACTAAATGCTCAACCACCCGGGTTACTTTCGCTACACATAATATAATAGTGAAATGGGAAAGGTGCTTCCCCCATTACAAAATCCTTGCATCCATAGCAAAAATAGGAAGGGTAGATTCGTCTGCACAGTATTTATTATTTTCTTATTTACAGGAAAAATACATAAGTGATGAGATTTGAATTGTGATTCGTTTGAGAAAATACAAGAAACATAACCAATTATACTATAATTTTAATTCGAGTTAAATAATTAATTCTATTTCTATTTGTCTTATAAAAGGAAAATAATTTTAAAATTGCAAGCCTAATGGCATTGGTGCAAATAATGCGCATCGAATTGCAGCATTGAATGTGTAGAAGCGATGCAGAATTTTTGACATAGATAATATAACTACCATAAAATAACAATATTTTTGAACATAAAAGTTTTGAGTGAATATGAGGCACATGTGTCTTTAACAGAGTGGTAAATATGAAAATATTGAGTGATGTTGGTTTGTCGAATGCGGATTGAAAAGACCAACTAATGTAAATGAGTTTAAATGGTGTCCCGACCTACTAAACGCTCAACCATCACCGTCTCTCCAAACCTTCCCACCGGACTCGACAATCACCTAACCTTCTCCACCTATATTGTTACCCAAAGCAATTTTTGAAGGGGTAAAGATGGAAAGGTTCAGTGTTTTTGCTTGGAGAGCTAACTGGTGGGTTATGTAGTTTCTTTGATTGTAACTGTTTCTTTGAGTGTTTTTTGCTTCCAATTCCACGACTCCTTTGCCAATGTAATCATAAAGTAGAAAAGACTTTATTTTTTCTTATGAATTAATCTCTCAATATGTGTTGTTGTTTTTTTTTTATGTAATTATAGTTAAGGGATGTGAGTGTTGAACGTTGTCGAACGACACATATACCATGTTCGGTGACAAACTTGTCATCTTTAAGATCAATTCTCCGCATTCTTAAAGCGTGTTGATGATGTCGCAGGCGAGCTTGAGAAATATATTATCAACATCGTTTCTTGCTTTAACATCATCACATTGCTTCTCGCAATGTGAGGATAAGTTTTGTGTAAGCAACATAATTTAGTGGTTTTCTTTTGCTATGCTTTTATTACTCTTTTGTGCTTCAGAGGAGATTAATTATGTGACGTGGTTTGGGGCTTTAGATTTCGTTTTGGGTTCTTGAACTCTTTCTATTTTATATTTAGAGAGGCTCATCAATAAGTCATATCAATTATCAAAAGCCCAAGAACTTAGACGGTCCTAACAAATAAGATTAGCTAAAACCCACCCAATCATAACAAATCCTTAGGCAACAGTAAGATGTATTTAGTTTTATATATAATAATAGTCACTTAGTTGCCTATGGTGGAAATGAAAATTGACATAACTGAAAAAGAGTTTGTTTGAAAAAGCGTAGCATAAATAGGAAACTCATGATCATAACCTTTAGTCAATATTTATTTCTTTTACTTGAGAAACAATACATAAGTAGCAATATCTAAAATTTAAAGTATTATGCACAATACAAAAACAAAATAGTAAGAAAATAACATTTTCCATCCATACTCTATGCAATGTGGTGGACCCAAAGTAAAATTTTATTGGATGGAAACAACCCCTCACCCAGGTCACATTGGGGTCACTCCGGCCACCTATGGTCAATTACCTCGGGTCACCTAGCCCACCCCGGGATCACTCCGGCCACTTGGGTTCAATTACCCTAGGTCACTTTGGGGTCACTCTGGTCACCCCGAGGTCAATTACCTCGGGTCACCTAGCCCACCCTGAGGTCACTCCGGCCATCTAGGGTCAATCACCCTAGGTCACCTTGGAGTCATTCCGGCAACCCCAGGGTCAATTACCTCGGGTCACCTAAACCACCCCGGATCAATTACCTCGGGTCACCAAGCTCACCCCGGGGTCAATTACCTCGGGTCACCTCTGCCCACCCTAGGGTCACTCCGGCCACACAAGGTCAATTACCCTAGGTCACCTTGGAGTCACTTCAGCCACCCCAGGGTAATTGCCTCGGGTTACCTAACCCATCCCGGGTCACTCTGGCCACCCAGGTCAATCATTCTGGTCACCTTGGGGTCACTCCAGTCATCCTAGGATCAATTACCCACGTGGTCAACTACCTCGGGTCACCTCGACCACCTTGGACTCTCCGCCCACCCCAAGTCACCTAGGACCTTTAGCCATGTACCCCCGCAACGTTTCCTCTCTCCACACCACCAAGCTCCTGAGGGAGACATGTACTCCCTTTATGTTTGCCTGGAGGCCTCTATAAAAGGCCACATCGTCTCTAGATTGAGGTAAGCCAAAATCCCCGTGCCTAGACTCGTGAACTCTTGCTATGATTAGCGCAGATATTCATTCTCAACTCCAATCCCTCATCTTTCATTTCGAGGTCAGATTCCTCTCCACTCAACCCACCCCCCCCCCCCCTCCCCCCCAACTAACTTGAGCGTTGTAGAGTGTCCCCGCCAAGATCGGCCAGCGGACCCTTTTTGCAGGAGACAACCAGAGCTAACATTCTGAGAGAAGTTCGAGGTGAAAGGTGGTCGTCGACCGACTCTGCTACCCAACATAAAAAAAACTCGACGTCAGCTATAACCCCGGCATCAACACAATGAAAAAATTATTTATCAACCAACATACTCTAAACTATTTGAAGGGCAATTTTATTCACTCAACAAAAAATTAAACCTATCTTGTGGTACCTACCTTGCTAATGCACATGACCACTTCAATGTATCCATGAAAACTCCAGCTTGACTTTCATGATTTGTCTTGTACTATGGTTATTTCATATTAAACTAAGTAACTATGAATGATATATATGGTCAATTACCCTATAAGATAAAAGATGTAAATAATTGAAATCGTATAGAAAAATTGGTACTGACAAATTGTGTTCTTTTAAACTCACTCATCTGTCCAATCATGCCATATTATCAAGAGGGTTAGGATTTAACGGTTAACCAAACTAAAACCTTCAAAGAACTGGCCACTTACAGTTTGAATAACAATATCGTTGCTTTTATAGTTCTAAAAATTAATACCAAGTTAAGAATTATACATCACTTCTACACATTCAATACCGCAATTCAATGTGCAATATTCGAATCAATAATATTTGGGTTTCAATTTTAAAATTATCCTCCATTTATAAGATAGACATATATTAAATTTATTATTAAATCCAAATTAAAATAATCAAATATAGAAATTCAAATATCAAATAACAAAGAAAGTACTTACCGGAGAGTTAGTGGACTAGCTAACAGTATTGAAAAAGTCATATGGTTTTGAGATTTTAGTATTTAAAAAGATATCAAACATTTGTTTATTGCAATTGGTAATTGTTGTTGTCTTTGTTTGGAAATACCATGGTTCAAATCTCGAGATTGATGTATTTTTATTCTTATGAATAAAAAAATAAATAATGATTGTGAAGACACAATTACCCTTCCTACTTTTGCTCTCGTTGCAACAAATTTGAAATGTTGAAAAAACTGCCCCAACTCTATAATATATTTGTAGATGTGTTGGTAAGCTACCCTTTAATTACCCCAAACTCTGCTATAATATATTTGTAGATGTGTTGATAAGCCACATTTTAACGAATTTCATATTTTATTGTGAACCATTACCTTGAGTAGTTCCATCACCCTTGTAATGTCAAATGCCACCCAACTCTGCTATAATATATTTGTAGATGTGTTGATAATCCACCCTTTAACGAATTTCATGTTTTATTGTCAACCATTACATTGGGTAGTTCCATCACCCTTGTAATGTCAAATGCCACATCGAGATTGTCAATGCATGCTTCACCAGTTCACCCACAAATGATTAGGTTTAATGGAAGCTAGCTCTAATTGGGTCAGTTTTGTTAGGCTATGGTGGTTGACATACAATGTAACAATGGCGTGCAAGGAAACCTTCAGAAAATGAGAAACGTGACAATGCCCTCCCAATAGTCACCACCAAGTTATTATTATATACTTTTTTCTTCTTGGAAAAGACCAATTAATATTATTCTTCATTCATCCCCATTCCCCCTTACACATGTATGTAACAAATAAAGAATTTAGCATTGAATACAAATAGCCAGGAAACCAGCACCATATAT